TGGTAGAAGGAAAGAACTAACTCCTGCAAGTCGTCCTCTGACATCCATATGCATGCTGTGGCATAAGGGCCCCCACTCCCAACAACACACAAAATTTTAAAAAATTTCCAATGTAATAAAACATTTAAAAAAGAACTCAAAACTAGATTCAGCCAGTCTATTAAACACCTGCTCCACATGAAACAGTGAGTTGGAAGGAAAGGGAGTGAGTCACAGTCTTTTTTGGAATGGACAGTCAATTTGAGAGGATTGGAAACCAGGAATGAAAGGCATCAACTAGACTGTGATGTGGGTTGTCAGCATCATACAACAAGGTGATGAGATGGGGATGAGGGGCTCCCCTAATGGAGGGTGTTTTGAAAGAGCTCGAAGGAGAGTTTTCAGCTTGAAGGCAAAGAAATTGGAAAAGGAGCTGAGTGTTAACAGGTAGATCCAGGATAGGGCATTCTAAGAGGAGAGATCAGGTGCATGGCTGTGTACATATGTGTTTGAGAGAACAAAGGGTTATACAACTGGATGGGGAAGGAGGACCAGCTGATTGTTAGGAAAATCCAGGAGCTACAACAAAGCCCATCAAGGACTATTATACAGATGATCGGCTTCATGGTGTCTGTTCAGTGGGTAACTGAGGTTTGTGGGTGGGCGGAGTAGGAGTTGGGCAGGGAGATCTGTCACTTAAGCAGAGGGGAGGGGGGCATGCACTGTGCTGGAAGCGGAATACCCTCTGCACCAATGGATGGGCGGGGATGAAGCTAAAGAATAACTCAGAAATACAATGATCAGATTGAAAGACCAATTTAGCAAGAGGAATGGAGAAGACGCCAGAAATATCTGCACTTGCTACCCCAGGGGTGAGGATGCAGTGATGTCATGAGCAAACAGAGGGAGCCCTGTGGGAAGGAAGGGAGGACCAGGAGAGGAGGTTGGTGGGAAGACAGAGGTGTCTGTTTGCTTAAGGTGCATGGAGCTGTCCAGCAGAGCCCAAGGCCAGGGTCTGCACCTGGCAAGGGTAGTTCCCAAGATGAGTGCTATAAAATGAGAAGAGCCGAGAGGTGCTGGGTCATTCATGAAGGTGGAGCAGGGCTGTTCATTACAGTTGTCCTGGGTAAAACCAGGAGTTTTGGACCAGTTGAGCTGTCCTGGACCCAGTTTTTTAGCCAGGAAATCAAGAGCAGAAGGCGTGACATTCCTGGCCAGGCTCTAAGCCTAGTTGGAATGCAGAGTCCAAGGAGAATAGTTCCAGTCTCCCAGATCTCAAACCTGCTTGTCTTTTCCTGATCCTTCATTTAGGAAAGAGAGCCATGGAAAAATGCTTGACTTTGGGTCAGCTTAATTTTTATCTTGCAGGTTTTGTTGTTGTTTTAAGACAGGGTCTTCCTACATAGCCTAGATTGGCCTCTTCCTGACTCAGCCTCCCTAGTGCTGAGGTGACACCCCACTCCTCTGGAGTTCCTTATGCACGTGTCTCTTTGGAAGCTTACCTTAGAGTTCTCTCTTAGACAAAAACCTGCATTAGGTCTGCACTGCTCAGATTGGAATATTTTGTGTTTCTACATCAGCATTTAGGAAACTTTTGGACTAGTTTTATTTTTTTCTTTTTCCTCATGTTATTCATGCCCATGTACCCTTGTCCCTCTGTCTATCCACTCTCATTCATGCCCACATTCTCTTGTACCTCTGTCTATCCACTCTCACTCATGCCCATGTTCTCTTGTCCCTCTGTCTATCCATTCTCATTCTTTCCTTTAGAACTTTATTAATGCTGGGTATGGTGGCACATAGCTTTAATCCCAGCATTCTGGAGTCAGAGGCAGGAGGATCTCTGTAAGATCAATGCCAGCCCGGTCTATATATCCAGTTCCAGGCCAGCTGGGGCTACAGGGAGATCCTGTCTCAAAACAAACAAACAAATAAACAAAAACAAACAAACAAACAAACAACAAATGCTGAAGAGATGGCTCAGCCATTAAGAGCACTGGCTGCCCTTGCAGGGGACTCGGGTTTAGTTCCCAGAACCCACATGGTGGCTAACAACTATCCATAATTCCAGTTCCAGGGGATCTGATGTCTTTCTCTGACCTCCATGGACAATGCATGACACAGGTACCCTTACATACATGTAGGCAATATATTCATATACATAAAACAAACAAAACTTTATTTAATTTCTATATTTTTCCCAACACATTTGACTTATTGGCTTCCTGTGACTATATTATTTCTCTAAGGGATAACTGACTCTGATGTCTAGTTGGTATTGAGCAGCTCCAGCCTGAGATGCAGGCTTACCTGCAACCCCCATGCTCTTTCCCCAGTGCCTTTCCTTCCTGGCTATTAGACAGCATGAAACCCAAAGAAAGCCTGTGTCCTATGCTAGCCCTGGTGGAGGAGAGTCCACTGGTGATACTACCTTTGTGTTGGAGGGAGGGAACAGCAGAACAGAGTTTAGAATCAGATACTAGCTCTGGTATTTATAAATGACCTGTCTCTGCTTTTCTACCTGTGAAAGGGGCTGATAAAAGTGTTGACTTTGGAAATTTGTCCTGAGAATTAAACAGGATAACTCAAGTGAAGTGTTGATTACAGTGTCTAGCACATATGGAATGACCATTAAACATTAGCTCTGTGGACCCACCTTAGAGTACAAACCTATCTTAGGTTAGAAAAGTTCTTACCCATGGATTTATTTTTTTCTTATGGTACAGTATACCAGGAAAAGGTCCAGGAAATAAAAGATTCTGTTTTGGCTTAACTTATAAATTCTAGCTAGTGTCACAAATTTAAGACATCTCATTTGGTAACATGAAGTTTCCTCTGCCTAACTGAGGGGTGCTGTGGACATAATGGAGAGAGACAGTGAGTCACTGTGGAGGCAGCATCAGAATTTCATTTCATCCTACCATCAGGCAGTGAATGATTACAGCACATTAATTTCACTGTCAGAACATGGGTTATGCACCAATAGATCTGCTCAGACAGACTGGTTCCCAGCGTGACGTGATAGCAAAATCTCTTCTGTTAGAGAGTCATAAGACACAAATTCTGGTTCTTGGTCTGCTGTTGTGTGTTGTGCTACTTTGAAAAAGGCACTTTATCATATGTAGTCAAAGCTTTCTGACCTGTGAGGGGATATTCTTGACTGTGGCACAAGATTGTTCTATGACAATATTTGAAAATGCTTTATACTTGGTTTTTGAATGTGGGTGGACTTTGCAACAGGATTTTGCTATGTAGCCCAAGTAACCCTTGAAACCCGATCCTCCTGCCTCAGTTTCCTGAGTGCTACACTACCAGCCTAACTTTGCTTTATTTATACATTTCAAAATATTGGATAAGCTGGGTCTGGTGGCACAGGCCTATAATCCTAACTATTCTGGAGGCTAAGGTAGAAGGATAGCAATTTTAAAGCTTTCCTGGGCTTTAAAACCAGCCTGGGCAAGGACTGGAGATAAAGCTTAGTGACTGAGCACTTTCCTAGCATGTATAAAGCCCTTGGTTCAATCCCCAATACCGAACAAAAAAAGACAAACGAATGGAATCTATCACTTTCATGATAAAGCCAACACTTTCTGTAGAAATCTCTGCTACCTTATAGGTTTAGAAAGGACTCGCTGCAAAGGCCAGATGTATTTTACTTAGACGTGGAAACAGCTTTAGAGATCCAGGGTGTAATGAAGAGAAGGCAAGAGTAGTTTGCAAACTTGAGCACACATTAGACTCACCTGGCAGGCAGGATCCCACTGGTAGTTTCTGTTGCCACAGGTCTCTGTGTGGGGCCTGAGTAGTGGCATGTCCAACATGCTCCCAGGTGATGCTCAGACGGCTGGTCCTGGCACCACTTTCTGAGAATTAGAACAAACAGGAAGGATCTTCCTCCTGGAACAGAAGCAGGCAGTGTGAAGATCGATGTGAGTAAAGAGGTTTGGAAATAAAATTGGGAAAAAAGACAGTAACAGAGAGATGTTGAGCAGATAGGGCAGAACAAAGGGAAAAAGTCTCACTCCATCACAAATGCAAGTCGGGGGAAGTTGCTAGGTGATGGATGAGGGAGAGAGGTGAGTTTCTACTGTAGAAAAAACTAGGTGAGAGGTAGGAGCATGGGGTTGGAAATCTGCACGTTTGAGGAGGTGGAAGAGGTGGAAATTTCTCATTAAGAAATGAGGAGCAGTGAGGTTGGCCCTGGTGGGGGTGGGGATGGCTATGGACTGGGGGAGAGATGCTTCTGTTGAGTAAGGGGACAGCTGAGACTTGGCAGAGAGGGGTAATTTCAGGGCTGTGTGGTTTGGCTTGGGAGTGCAATGCAATAGAATTGGGAGAAAGGGGGTGGAATTTAGATGTGCGACCTGCCCCATAGCTTTCTCTCTCTGCATTTATCACATCACATCACACCCAGCAAGACAGGCCCCCTCCTCCTAGCTCATTAGGAGATTTGATTCAGCTTGGCTCCCGCTGTCAGCAGCTGTCTGGGGCAAGATCTTTATGCTCCCTGCTCCCTGGCGCAGGCACCATCCTCCAGCTCATTAGAAGACACCCCCACCCCTTGATTTTCTGCTCATTGGTGGTCGGAAAGAGTTAATTCTGACTCTTGGCTGGGGGCAGAGTGCCTGCAGTGGGCTGTGGGAGACTTCTGCCTGAGCTGCAGCCAAAGGAGCTGCAGGTTAGCAAGGCTGAAGGAGGAAGGTAGAGGAAGTGTGCCAGGTCAGCTCTGCTCCAGGCCATCTCCAGAGTCCTGCCAATGAGGATGGGCGTGCAGACTGTGCCCGGGAGCTGAGCTGCCGCCCGCTGGGTGTAGACTGCTTCAGTATTTACTGGATGTGACAAGCAGAGAGAAGAGCTTTCAGCGGGGCTGCTTGCTGCCTGGCTCAAGTGGTGGGAGGTGTGTTGTGCATGCATGCTGATGTATATATATCTATGCGTGCGTGAGCCTGTGTGTCCATGCAAACATGCCCTTCACTCACCAAGGATTTCACTGCTAAAAGAAAGATCTACTCTTTCCTCAGAGCTCCTTAACTCGCAGCCTCTCTGACCATCCAGTTGGCAAAGACCTGCAGGCCATGCGGACCGGCCAGCGACAGTGAGTACCGCTTTTGGTTTCCTCCTTTCTTGCAGGGGGTGTCCTGTGTGTGCTGGTTGCATTATCCATATTTAATTAACCTGCCTCTTCATGCACATTGATTGCTTTCTCCCCGCTGAGGCTCTTAGTTTCTTTCCCTTTCTGTATAAATCTTTGCTTTTTCCTCCTAAGCTTTGCTTTTTTCTCGAGTCATTTCTTTCCTTGATGTCCCATACTGTCTGCTCTGGAGTCACTTGTGACTTGACACCCACTTACGAGGGTACATGCATTGTGGGGTTCAGTCACATCTTTCAACTTCCCAGGTTCTGGGTAATCCCTTCCTCTGTCCCGCTAAGTCAATCCCTGGAGACCGGGATCCTGGAATGGACAAGGCAGCTGGGGCTGAGGGGCCAGCTGGTTCTCATTTAGTGAATCCAAGACTGAGCTCATTCAAGGGACAATTTGGGAGGTGCTAGAGTTGGAGGAGAGAGGGGAGGCATCTGGACAGCACAGGCAAGCCGGTGTGCTCTGGCAGCAAGAAGAGTGGCAGGCAGGGGCAGAGCCCTAAATGACCTTGCCTGTGGTGTATGGTTGGTAGATATGCCATGCTTTCTGGCTTCATTCAGCTTCAGAATAATGAAGGCCCCTGACAGGGTTGCCCCCTGCCCCTGGGGACATATTCCATAAGCAAGAGGAAATGAGGCGTAGGTGACCCAGACATGCTTTCTGGGGACCCTAACATCTGTAAAGGGCTTTGATTGCCTGACTTCTGACAAGCAGGTGCGAGCACAGTTAGGACAATGATTGAGGAAATTTCCTCTGTTGCTTTTATATGAAACCTGATCTCCCTCTGCCCCCCACCTCACTCCCGTTTTCTTATTAGTGTTAATAAAATCATCCTTTTATTTTATTAATGATAGTATTATCAGGGAAGCAGTTTTTTTTTTTTTTTTAAAGTGTTTGTGAAATGTTCAGGGTAATGGCAAAATAGTTTAAATGCATATTGTCACCCAGGACTCTTATCTATCTAAATTAGGTTTCTTTTAAAATGGATTCTATGTTTGGTGTCAGGGTTCCCCAGGGGAACCCTTTGTGGATAGATAGGCTGCTCTTCCTATCAGTTCTCTTCTGTGGGAACAATGGGTCTGAAGCACCACCAATGGCACCCTTGGGAGGAGGAGGCCATAAGCCAATCAGCCTTCAGTCTCTATATTTCTTTCCCCTACCCCAAGTCCTCCCTGTTTTGGGTCAAAAATGTACAGTCCCCAGGCTGAAGAAGGTTTACCTCCATGTGGGTGAGAAAGAGTGACTTGCATATTCATTTCTTCCACCTGTGCTTGGAATCCCTGCCTAGGAACATGCCCCGTGGTGAGGGAGCCTGGTGACTCCCCTCCAAGTTCCTCCCTCCTTCCCAGGCCTCCACTCATTCCCACCTGGGACAGGTGCCCTTGGCGGGAGGTGAGAACCAAAGCAGCATCTAATCAAATTATTTTGGAACAAGCACTGGCCCCCCTCCCTCATCCCTTCCTGACTGGTCACTTGGGTCTCATTCTAGTAAGAGAAAGAGAACAGTAATTTTTGGTTTGCCAGGCCCATACCTCCCCAAGGGCATATTGTCCCAATTTTGGTTGATGGTCAGTGGTTGGGAAAGTAGAAACTCCTGACCAACAGTCAGCAGTTTGAAGTCACCTAACAATTTTTTCCTGTCCATCTTTGATTGGCCACTCTTGCTAGGAATAGGCTGATGATTGTGGGGGGCTGAGGTGTTTGTGTGTGGGAAGGTACTCTGATGGTGGAGAGCCACTGAAAAGGGTATATGATGCAGACAGATGAGAGAGGGCGACCCCTCTTTACAGCAGATTCTTTGATTTTAGGTGAGAGGACGTGAGAAGGTAATCCCTGAGCCCCGCAGTCCTTGTTTCCTGCCCTGACATCCCTGCAAACCAGCCCAAGGGGTAACCATAAGCGGATGCCTGTATGGCTGCCTTACTGATGCCACGCAGGTAACGAATCAATGACCTATCTTCCTGTCTTGCCCTTCTCTTCTTTTTTCCACATTCAGGTCTCCCACCTCCCCTGCTGTTGAGTGTGACCCTAGCCATTGAGCACTAGGTGGTCCACTTGCACCAGACTCTCTTGGCCTCCAGTACACATTGAGCTGTTCTTGCCTCTGTACTTCTTGCAAAGTTATGGCCTTGCAAGAAGGATCTGCCTTACTCCATGTCTTGCCTTTGGCTTGGTAGAATCTCTTGATTGTGAATTTTGGGATAGGATGCGGGACCATGCATGAGCTTGTATGAAACCATTTAGGATCTCTGTGAATTACTGGGACAGGGGCTGTAAAGAAAGGGCAGATGAGGAAAAGGCCTTCCCTTCCCTTCATTTTCTCTCCCCCTCCTTTCCTCCCTCCCTCCC